GTCACCTCAATATGAATATCACACCAGGAAACTCAATACATCCAAAATTATATTATCTGCCAAACCTATTTCTCCTCTTGTGTTTCTTATTTCAGTTAGTGGTATTATTATCTTTTATTCAGCCAAGTTAGACGATAAGGAGTCATCTTTGACTCTTTACTTTCCTGAATTCAACATCAAATTCTATTGACTTAATATCATATTAATTTACATTTGTCAGGCACATTGCTAAGTACATTAGTGCATTTTCCCAATCTTTCACCATATTCTGCATCATTCTTATTTTACACATAAGAAAACAGAAACTTGGATGTTTAGAGCTCAGTGATAAAGTCAGTATTTGAACTCAAGCTTCTTTATTTCCAAAGGTAGTGAGCATCTTGATGACTTTTCAATACGTTCTCCACTCTTTTTCCACTGCTGTAGCCCCAGTTCAGATCATCACAGTAGAAGCTCTGCTAGCCAATCCCCAATTAGTCAAATCATGTCATTAATAACACTCTTCAATCCTCTTACACACTCATCACTGGAAACTAGTAGGAGATTGCCTGGATCGTTGAACATTCCTAGTCCCATCAGTTTAGTTGCATGTTTACCAAGAAAGAGTTGTATTTTGTTCTCAAGCCAGGCAATGCAGTTGTACTTTTTATTACGTCACAATATTTAATTAAATACAGTGTAAACTAATGAGATATGAGTATGAAAGAGAGCTCTCCCTATGAAAACTGAGTTGAATGCTTTGGAAAGACAGGATGAGAGTAAGTGGCTGAAAATATTATAATCCACTTAAGTATGGAGAAGGTGAACCAAAAATGATTGGGGAAAACTCTCATAAAAATTTCTTTAAGATTCTGCACTCCAGTTGCCTTTTGCTGCAATTTAAAGAAACAGAAACAGAAACATCGGTGTGGTTCATGCAAGAAAAATAATACAAAACTCCAATTAGCAGCCCTGTACTCAAAGAAGGCGCCTTAGCACTCTATTATATAATTGCTGGATGAGTGTACTCATATGCATCTTAAGTTAAAATATAATAATCAAGGTAAATATCTTTTTTTTGTTGTTCTCTGATTTTTTTTTATTTTTTTTATTTTTTTTTAAAGATTTTATTTATTTGACAGAGAGAAACACAGTGAAAGAGGGAACACAAGCAGGGGGAGTGGGAGAGGGAGAAGCAGGCTTCCTGCCGAGCAGAGAGCCTGATGCAGGGCTCGATTCCAGGACCCTGGGATCATGACCTAAGCCGAAGGCAGACGCTTAATGACTGAGCCACCCAGGCGCCCCTGTTGTTCTCTGATTTGATAAGTTTTGCAAATGACTGACCAAATTGGGTCCCTGATTTCCCTGAATGAGAGACCTTCCACGTTATCTCCCATCGTCTTCCAAGCAGTAATAGTACCTTTCCTCTGACCCCCAGTGTTCAGTCTGATTTCTCCATTCAGTCAACAAATATCTTTTAAGAGCCTACTAATTACCAGAATTTCCTTCTTAAAACTCAGATCTAAGCCTCTCTCCTCTGCCCACAATCACTCAGTGATTTTCCCTTGCCTGCAGAATGAAGCTAAAAGTACTTAGCAGAATATTGAAGACCTGCCATGATCTGACTTCCACCACCTTTTTAGCTTCCACTTCCTAACAGAGCACTCCGTATTCTCTGTCAATCACCCACATTCTGGCTGTTGCTCAAACACATGACACCATTTAGCATTCATTCAGAGAGAGCCTGAACTCTATATTTGTATCTCTCATAATTTTACTCATTATTGAAAATAGTAGTTTCTATTGGGAAACATATTGTTCATAGAAATTATGTAATACAGAAGATGCTAAAGGTATCTGAATAAATTTTACTGAGTGAATTTTAAGTTGTAAAGTCAAGAGTATTGTGCTAATACATAGCCTGTGGATGGAGGCGTTAACTTGTCTTTAATAATCAAAAGTTTAAAGGTGTCTATACTTGATAATTTAGTAAAAGTTTAAAAGTCTGCATAAACATGATAACTTGACTGTCCTTATCCAGTTGTCCAATCAGGGAGAGTACCTAGTTCCTAGGTGACAAATATCAGTGGATTATTATGTCATTATTATCCTTAGTTGTCTGTTTCTCTCACTCACATTTTTTTCCCCTGGAAGTCTTATACCTGTGGACTGTCTTAGCTGCTACTACTGCATTGAACTCCTAAAATGTTCATCTCAAACAGAACACCTCAGTCAATTCCACTCCTCTTTCTAATTGCTTTTGTGTATTTTCACTCAGCAAAACACCATCCATCATATCAGAGTTTAAAATGGAATTTTCCCAGCAAACCCACTTTCCCCTGCCTTCTGAGACCACCACCTCCAAGGTTTTGGAGTTATCCACAGCTCTTGAGGGTCTGTTTTGTTCTGTGATCTTCCTTAGGCCACAACTAGTTGCCAATTATTTCTTCCCATAAAGATTGAATTTTTAAGGGCTTTGAAAACTATAGGAGTACTTGCCCCTTTACAGTCAAACTTCTTGAAATATTTGTCCATACTCACTGTATTCACACTGTTATCTCCTGTTCCCTTTTCAACCCAGTGTAGTATGGCTTCTGTCCCCAAACTTTTACTGAAGCTATTATCAAAGTAACAAATTACTGCCTTGGTGCTAAATTTAATTGACATTGTCTCAGTTGTCAACCTAACTTCTTATAGACTTTGATATTTAGACCACTCTTTCTACCTGAAATGAATTCTCCCCTCTGCTTCTGTGACACCTCTCTATCTTTCAGACTGCTTTGTTGTACTATTCTTTTTAGGCTTCTTTCTTCTGCCCTTTTAAAAAAAATGGGCCCATTCTTCAGAGTCCCGAATCCTCTTGTCTCCTCCCTCTACACATTCCTCTAAGCAATCTCATCAATTTCCCTGGCTTTAATTACCACCTCTGTCCATGATCACCAGTTCTGTGTATCCAGCTCTCTTATTTACCTGAGCTCTCAAGATGTGCATATTTAACTATGTCCAGATGTGTCCTCTTCAATATTGCATAGGCACGTTGACTTTAACCTGCCAAGGCTGATTTTACAAAAAGGCAAAAATACTCCTCTTATTTGCTTATCTTAGTGAATGGTACCATTCAGTATCTATTTGCTCAAACCATCAATCTTAAAATATAGCTATCAATCTTAACTTTTTTATTCCTTATTCTCCAGTCAGTATCAAAACTTTGTCAACTCTACTTTTGAAATATTTCATATATCCATCCACTTTCTCTATCCCTTCTGCACTACATGGTTCAACTCAAGATGATATCTGTCATAGATATCTTCAACTGTCTTCTAAATGAGCTCCCTTCCTCCATGCTGGCCCCTCTCCAATCAGTTTTCTAGGCTGCAGTAAGCTTCCTCTTTCTAAACATATACATTTAATCACATCATTTCCCAACTTTCCTGTCAATGTCCCCATGCTACCCTCAGCATTAATTCTAATCTCTTTCACATGGCTTGAGGGCTCTTTGTGATCAACCCATTTTCCCCTCAAGCCCCATCTTTGCCACTCTTTCACACTCTGTGGTGCTTCTTTAAATTCCCAAACTGTATCAATTCTCTACCTGTGGACCTTGGCCATCCCATGAATCTGCCTCTCTCTGATCAGGCTATTCTCTCTGCTTATGGCTTCTGCACCCTCTCTCTGCAATTTATTCATTCAACATACTTTTGAACACTCACTGTGCACCAGGCATTGCTCTCGGTTCTAAGACCACAGTAGGGAGCAAAGTGGGTATGTTGTACTGAACTCATGAGGTTCAGAGTCTACTGGATAGACAGACAAGCAAATTTAGGCCATTGCAGGCCTTTGTGATGAGGGGTGGACATTGGGAGTCCAAGGACCCAGACGAAGACATCTCACTCAGCCTGGAAAGAGAAGGCTTCCTAGTGACAGTGTTATTTGGAGGGTTAGACCTGAGACAGAGAAGTAGAAAGGAAAGAAGCAGGGAGTTTAAGAAAGACCTCAAAATGTAAAGTTCTTATCTTTTCTGCTTTTTCTTTTTCCTTCTCACTCTTCTTAACTCTTGTCTTTCACATCCAACTACCTCTGTTCTTTAAAAACCCTTTGGTTGGTTCTTATGGTACTCCTGGAAGTTACCTATTATTTTCCATCACTGGTGGCATCCATTATCGCAGATGCACTTCCACGCCTTCAAAAAACCCACCAGCTTCCTTTCTTCAAGTCTCTCCTCAGGGTGAAAGTGAAGACACCTCATTGCATATAGCAGCCATGTCATACATCTCTTCAACAAAGCTATCAGCTAACTTGTAGCTAACTAGGGTCAGGCCCAGATATTTCTCTTTTTATCCTTCTGCTGTAATCCTTCCAATTGTCCATTTTTCTGTTCATATTTTCCAGTAGTCCACAGTGTCAAATTGTCTATGAGAAATAGACAACCCATGATCTTCCCTCATTTTCTAAAATAATACAACACAGATCAAGTTTAAGAAGCCTTTCCTCATAGCTTTGAGATTCCTGTCAGACCTTAGGCTCACCAGAAGAGGGTGGTGGTAAGGTTTCTCTTGAGCTTTATTCTAGGCCATGGCAAGACCTTTCACATGTAGCAAAAGTGAACAATCAGCTAACACCACCCCACAGATCTCTCAGCTTCTTGAAGGGGCATATCATCCTAAAAACCTTTAGTTCCCTTAGGGCTTGTTATATTACATAGTCCTCCCATTCAGGCAGTGGTTCCCATTTTAAAAGGTTTTAATAAGATGAGAAATATCCTAGGATAAATTTGCAGCCACCTCTACTTCCCATCCTCCCCTGGGGTAAAGAGGAGGGTGGCTTTACCCATGATTGGGTCAGTGACTGCAGGGGACTCTGCCTTGCATCAGCAATGTCATTATTTCTTCACTCACTACAGTCTAAAGATTTGGCAACAATGCTGGTGCTCATATATAGAAGGAAGCTAATTACTTCATTTCATTCTTTTGTTGGAACATTTTCCTACCCACTTGCAAATAATCTTCCCTTTCCTTTAACAGCTCCTCTCTGAAGAGACCAACAAAAGCACATTCATCAGAAGCCAAATTGGAGCCCAGGAGGAGACCACAGAAGCCTGGGCTCAGGGGCCCAGGTTAGAGGTCAGTGTCCACCAGCTCCTAGGTAACTGGCCTTGCAGTGTCTCTAAAGCGAGTTCTTAACAGAGGCAGATGGAAACTTCCGCTGAATTCCTTATATGTTTGAAATAGATAGGTAGATGATAGATAGATAGGTTATAGATAGATAAATAGATAGATAGATAGATAGATAGATAGATAGATAGATAGATAGATAGATATGTGATTGTTTCTCCCATAAAGGCAGTAATATTTCTATAACAATGGCTTCATTCAGGGCTTTCCAGAGTCACTGTTGGCCATTCTTTTGGGGACTCTATGGGCAATTATTTTCTTGGTCTGAAGCAAAAAAAGACTCAGAACACAAGGTTGCCTTTTTCAATTTTTGTTGTGGAAAAAAAAAAAAAGATAGCACCTGAGTGCCTTAATCAGGGGGCACCTTTGTGACACACTGGAGACAGGGCACTATGTGTATCTATGTACTGTAAAGTCTATAGCACTTTAATCAATTTTGATTTCACAGAGAAATTAACCAGTCAATAAAGACAAATCATGGAAAGGGCAGTTTATAAACTAAAACACAAATACTTTTACATACCATCTGGCAACTCTTGATAATACAAAATGGGTGGAGACTTCAACAAAGGCTCATCCATTCTGACAGAGATTCTATGTTTATTGTTCTTTAACATTTCCAGTATATTTGGATATTTAAGAGCAAAGCTACCATATATGGGATCTGATCAAAGGGGTAAGTCAGGGTGAATAGGGCCAAAATCCAGCAGGCACTTTAGTCAGCAAGCCCTAAACCCTGGCTTTCTCTAGTTCATATGTATGGGCTAGCAGAAGCTCTGTTTATGAGGCTGGATAATAGAAAATTGATAAGTAACCTAAATATCCAATAATAAGGTACTGATTGAAAAATATACATAGAATTATTAAATGAAACCATTAAAACAGTATATATGTATATAACTACATGAAAAAGCAGGTTATAAAATAGAATGTATCACCCCATTTTTGTGAAAGAAATGTAAATATACAGAAATGCAGACACATGCTATCTATCTATCTATCTATCTATCTATCTATCTATCTATCTAACTATTCAGGGAAAAAACTGGAAGAATACATTCCACAATGTTGACTACAGTTATCTTCAGCTCATAAGTTGTTTTGTTTTGTTTTGTTTGGAGTGACTTGGCTTTTGCCTTCTTCTGATGAAAGTGTACTGACTTCACTGTGTGTGTGTGAAAGAGGGGGCGGAGAGAGAGAGAAATATGGTTATTTTTTGTGTAATAAGAACAAAATTAAAACCCTAAATAGTGGATTGAGGCTTAAACAATAACAACTAATAATAGCTACTTTAAAAGTGACAAATATTTGCGAACTGGAAACATGAAATAGTGTTTAAAACCATCAGGGCAGTCAAAAAGAAAGTCCAAACAGTCTGAGGACAAAGTATTATTCACTGTTTGATTTGGCCAGTTTTTCAGCTGCAATAACTATGGCTTTATGACAAAATTTTCACAAACCAGAAATAGATGTTAAAGTGAATCATCAATTTAGAAATGTAATTATAGAGTAATCCCACCTCTGATATTGATCGTATTTAACAATCCCATTCAGAAGACTAATAATATATCCCCTTTACTGTCAGTGATTTATTACTACAATGTTCAAAGAGATATAGTGTATGAAGGAATTATGCAACTGAGACTCTACATTAGTTTTATTAGGAAAATGAAGAAAAGGAAGTATGTTTAGATGTGGCTTTCATTCCCTGACTTTTCCCTTTGGAAGAATTACATTCTGTTAATCCTTGAGACAAGAGGCTGAAGCTAATATTTATCAACATATATTAGAATATCTATCAGGCATTATACTGGTACATTTACACCAATTCTCTAAGGCATGTATTTGCCATTTAAGAGACTAAGGCTCAGAGAAATTTCCTAATTTCTTTGTGGTCACATAGCCAGTAAGGTGGTGGTACCAAAATTCATACTCAAGTTTTTCTGACCCCAAAGACTTTGCTTTATCCTGTTAGACCAGAGTTACAACGTTCCATGGTGGGGGATTATATTATATTATTTTTTGAAATTACTCAATCTCTCTTTTTCTATAAGATTATACATCCTGCTCCATTGCCTTTGGGCAAGGTTGTGTGACCTGGTTTGGCCACTGAAGTATGAACAGATGTGATAAACACTATATCCTTTAAGAGCCATCATGGTATTTTGTCAGTTCGCTTGCTTTTTTTCCCTCTGTCACATGAATGTCCCAAATAGGAAAGCTCCTTCAGTATGGGTCCCAGAATGTGAAGACATGTGGAGCAAAGCTGAGCAGAATCTCAGCAGCTGCCAACACAAAGCTGCCAAAATGTGAACAAGTGTGCATTCATTCATTTTTCTAATGCTGCATTATAAATTACCACAAACTTGGCAGCTTAAAATTACAAATTTATTTATCTCACAGTTTCTGTAGGTCAGATATATGGGCGACCCTATTGGATAACCTGATCAGGGTCTCAGTGGGCTGATATCAGAGTGTTAGCTGCTGTTCTCATTTGAGATTTGGAGTTCTCTTCTGAGCTCACTGGTCATTGGTAGAATTTCTTTTCTTGTGGTTGTAGGACTAAAGACCCATTTTCTTGTTGGCTGTTGGCTAGGGGTTGCTCTCAGTTCTTAGTGGCTTTTCTTGGATCTTTTCACTGTGGCTCTTCCATATTCAAGCCAGCGTTGGCACATTGACTCTCCTTCCTTGCAAATCTCAGACCAGCAGTTGGAGATAACTGTCTGTTTTTAAAGGATGCATGTGATCGGGTTAGGTTCACCCAGATAATCTCCTTATCTTAAAGTCAACTGATTAATAAACATAATTACATTGGCAAAATCCCTTTGCCATGTAACATAACATAATCACACAAGTAACACCAAGGGATAGACACCATCTGGGCCTTCTTAGAATTCTGCAGACTACAAAGAGATAATTGTATTGTAAGCCACAGAGATTTGGGGAGATTGATTTTTTACTACAGCAAACTGACTACTGCAACTAGTTACCTGAACTTGTGTGTCTGTGCCTGTAAAAGGGCATAAATCATAGGCGGCAGGCATCTGAACACATTGTGAACACACAATGTGTTCACAAAATGAACATACTTGTACAACCACCACCCAGCTTAAACAAACAAAAATAAATAGACAAAAATCAGAAAATTATTAACAACACAGAAACCCCTTTCCAGTCATTTCCTAGACCCTAAATAACCACTATCCCATCCTCTAACCCTGCAGTTTATTTCACCTGCTTTTGAAATCTTACGAATGGAATCTGGCTCCTTCTTGATACGAGATCTAGGAGTTTCATTCCTTCTGTTGTTTGCAGTTTTAGTTCTCTTCCTGTATAATATTCCATCACATGGATATTCCACAATTTGTTTTTTCATTCTGCTGTTGTTGATAGACATTTGGTTAGTCTCCAGTTTTTAGCTATTACAAATAATGCTCCTCAGACTGTTTTTTTTTTTTTGCAAAGCTTCTACCCTTACCTCTCCCTTTCTCTGTTCCTCTCCCCTCTCTCCCCTTTCCTCTCTCTCCTCCCTCCTTGCCTCCCTCCCTTCCTTCTCTCTCTCTCTGAATCTCTTTCAGATGCCTTCATATTTTAGATATAACCTTCCCTCTCCCTAAAAAGGAGGGAATCCAGTTTGGTTATTGTCAACTTTCAAAATTAATCTTTGAGAAACTGTCTCTGAAAGATAATTGGAAAACCACAATGAATGGATTTAGACCAAGTGAGTAGGGAGCTAAAGGAGGGGCAAAAAAACAAGATATAATTTCCTACCCTTGGTTTATCTCTGGACAGAAGTTGCTTTGGTGAGACCAAGATAATTTCAGCCATCACTCTGAGCGGAGCTACACAGTGTAGTGGGAAACAGCATAGCCTGAGGCACCATTTAAAGTTCTGAATCTGGTTCCTTTTTCTAGCTGGAAAACTTGGCAATTCACTACCTCTCTGAGTTTCATTTCCTTCACCTATCATGGGGGCAGTGAGACTTTTCCCTTGGGATGTTTCAGTTCCTTCCCATTCTTCTACCACTTGTGCAAAAAACAACAGAACGTTTTGCCCCAGCCCCACTCTACCATCTGTTCCCTGTCCTTCTCTGCCCTGCTTTTGCCCCCAGAAAATGGGCCTCTTGACTGCATCCATCACCTGGCTCTGTTATTATTCTGCTTCCAATTGGGTTCAGCCAGTGGGAGTCACTGGCAAGAGATTGGCAGGAAGGAAGAGAAAGAAGCTCGATTATTCCCTTGCACACACGCTACTCCCTCCCTGCCTTACTGCTGTTCTAGGGTGGTTGCTTTCCTCTTGGCCACAGCTCTAGCTACCACCTGACTCTAGTGACACCTCTGTTCCTCTTGCATTTTAAACCTAAAGCTTATCATGATTTCCCACTCAGTGGTGCTCCACCATCTTTGGTTTCTTAACCCAGTGCATACCTCTGTAAATGGTTCCTTTACTATACTCTTTCCAGGCAGAAGTACTTTGAGTGGATCAACCTTTCTTGAGATGTCCCTGATAATAGAGAAGGGAGCCCAGTCAGATTGTTGAACATATGGGAGAACAGGAAACAGTATTAAAAGTTGGAGGCCAAGAAAATAAGGAATTTAAGGAACTGGGGAGATGGGATGGAGCAATGAAGAGTAGTCATAGTGTCCCATGAGCTGTTTCGGTGGTCTCTGCTAAGTACTTTACACATGTGGCATTTAAACTTCACAGTACCCCATGAGTTAATATGAAGACTACCTAATTTTAGAGGTGAGGAAACTATGACTTAGGGTTGTTAAGTAATTTCTTGAGATCACTCTTTAGTAACTGGCAGAACTAAGATTTGAATCCAAGACTTTGGCCTCCCAAACCCATGCTCTTACTTACATCCTTTCAAGACTTAGTACTGTGGCATGGTTCATTATCTTGAAGAGACAGATAGATATTTTGGAGATATTAAGCAAAGTCATCTG